CACTTGTTTCAGGGAGACTTAGAGAAGATTTACCTCACATCCTTTTAAGTCTACAAGACAGGAAATGTAGGGAAATCTCTTGAACAGGGCACAGACAGGGAAAAAAGACCCCCTGTGTAACTCTAAACTGGTTACCTGTAAAGGCTTTTAAAGCGTTGCCCATGGACATTTTTAGGCACCGTAGTTTGGCACTGTTTCACGGGCATGCGCAATTTTAAAATGTGACATGTTTGGTATCTATTTACTCAAACAATTGGGCATTATACTGTATTTTGTACATTAAAATTCATTAAAGTGTATATATATATATATATAAATAATGTTTTTGGGTTATCAGTAGTTTTCTAGCAAAAAATTACAGATTTTTCCATGTAGGAGAGGAATGTCATATTTGGCTCAGACTGCAACTGGTTGAAAGTGAACTTTACCCTGCCTAAGCCCCCAGAAAAATAAAAATCCCTAACATTTGACCCTGTCTCAAAAAAAAAATGACCACCATAGAATACAGCGTTGTCTTGCTAGAAGGAGAAGCTCTCCCTTAGCAGCTCTTAGACAATCCAAAAACCTCTGCCTGGTCTATGGCACCTTAGAGAGACCCCACACCATTTCTGCGCATATGTTTGATTTTCAATATGTTGGCAGAGACCCTGCAAAGTGTCTATGCCTGCGGAAGACCTAGCAAAGTGCATTCTGGGTTGTCTTTTGAGAGTTTGTGAGATCTTGAGCATGCACAGACACATCAAGGGGTCTCCACCAGAGAACTAGCAGAGACCCATGGTGTGTGTAGATGTGCAGGTGCCCACAATGTCATCCCTACCTAAAAGAAGATTTAGCAAGTTAAAAAAAAAGGTTTTTTTGCAAATGTGTAAGGGGTAGAGGCAGGTGAGAGGACTTTGCTAAAATGGGTGACATTCTGCTTTAAGGATGTCTTACCCAGATTTATGCTTTGAAGACTTAAAACAAACAACCGTGTACCTTTAGTAACCACATACAACCCAGCACTAGAAGGAATAAGAAAAATAATCAAAGATTTACAACCCATCATAACAGAGGATGGAAGTCTGAAAGAAATATTCCAGCAACCCCCAATACTGGCCTTCAGACAACCCCCCAACCTCAGAAATAAACTGAGGAAACTTCCTTCTGATTATGATGTCACAAAAAATGGAAGCAAACCCTGCAATAAAATACGCTGCAAACTGTGCAACCAAATCAATCCATCAAAAAGTGTCAGACACTCAAAAGGGATCTTTAATATCTCCGGATCATACAGCTGCACCTCCAGTAATGTTGTGTACCTTATCCAGTGCAGAAAATGTAACAAAGGATCCTATGTTGGCAAAACAGGACAGAAATTACAAACAAGGATGAATTTGCACAGACATACCATCAAGGAACATAAAGAAGATGACTTTTGCACACCTGTGGGACACCATTTCGCACAACCAGACCACATTATGGAAGACCTCAATATTTTAGTTCTTAAAGGAAATTTCAAATCCATCCAGGAAAGAAAAACTTTTGAACTAAGAATGATAATTCTATTTGACACACATGATAACGGCCTGAATTTGGACATGGGATTCCTCACTCATTATCCAACAGTTTTATCACCTCAAGCATCACTGCCTCTGTGAGTGTAGTCTCCCCCCTCCCCAGACTTTGCTTTTGCTGTGTCTTATCTTATTTGTTCTCCTTTTTTTTTTTCCTTCCAACTCCAAAACATCTCTTCTAACCCTTTGTGATCAGTACTGCTTTGACCTGAAGAAGGGGACACTCCCGGAAGCTTGTCCTTAAAATTGTTTGTTTTAATAAAATAAAAAAAAGTATCACGGACAGTACTCAATTGTTTCTAAGACTTATCAAGAAAGCCTTAACTCACAATTGGTAAGCACCTTGAGTTAAGGTAGTCAGTTCATTTGAAGGGCTGCCAACTCACCTCAAAGGACTGGTTAGTGCACATATAGCATTTTTGACAATGTATGTGAGTTGCCATGCATGACAGCCACTGCACTGTGCACTCTATCAGGTGTGATCTTTAAATTGTGTAGTGTAAAGGTATGACCAAGCCTCACTCTTCACCATGTCTCATTAAAAATATTTACCTCCTATAATGCAATAGGTGCTTTTTTAGCCTCTTCTATAAGTGTGATGTCAATCAGGATGCATTGGAAGTTTTGTACAATTACATAAGATTTTTTTTAAGATGCTGGATGTCCTGGATTGCACATTATCTATTCTCCCACCAAAGAGCAATAGGTAAATGTTACATTAGCTGTACTAAGTGGTGTCCTGAGCTCCTGCTTTTTAATTAGTTCTCTCTGGATGAAAGCAGTTCTCCGTAAAAGTCTTATGTTTGCTGAACTATGCTGGATGTCACTCTCTTCTCAGCCCTCCATACATGATTAGGATCCAAGGACTAGATACATTCATAAGTGTGAAACTGAGGAAAATACTAACAATTTCTGAACAGCAATAGAAGAGGGCAGTGCTGAAGAGCGTTGACATATCCAAAGAGTATGTAAAGCCATCTTTTTTTATTCTTGTATACAGTAAGAAAGTGTTAGCAACCTTGTTTTTATTGCGATTTATACTCCCGTTGGGAAGATTCACCATCTTTATATATTCTGGTAACTATTGTCATCAGGATTGAATGTAAAGAAAAAAGCAAAATTTAGATTTTTTACTGGAACAGGAATAGAAGGGACGTTTTCTAATGGAGTAACTTATTGCCAGGACAACTGTCTAAAAGAGTGGTGGCCAACTTTCTTGATATGGGAGGCTTCTAGTGTGGCCTTCAACATCACCAAAGGGCAGCATGTAAAATATTCAGTGTCCGAGACAGCAGCCACACAACAGGATATGGTCCAAGAGTATATGCATTATATAAAAGATGGTCAGAGACTGAGGACATAATACAGGAGAGATGGTCAGAGGCTGTGGACAGGATACAAGAGATGGTTAAAGACTGCAGACATGCTGAAGGAGACTGTCAGAGACTGTAAACATGCTAGAGGAGTTGTTGGGAGACTGAGGACATGCTTTAGGATACAGTCTGTCAGGAATGGACTGGCCAGCAATAGTGGGACTCACCTGCCTTATGAGCTGCAGTACCAGGGCTGGCCAGCGGGTGTCAGGGATCTCCTCGATCCCTGCCGCGATGGTCCCGGCGCAGGCGCACTGCTCCGCCCTGTACACGGGCACTAGGTCCGGGCCGGCCGCGGCGTTCGAGTTCGCGCATGCGCAGTAGAAGCCGCGGCCGCCTGCTGGGCACCAATGGCAGCGCAGGGCGGGATATTTAAAGGTCCCTGAGCTGTCATTTCGTTGCCTTCTGGTCTTACCTGCTTCCTGTGATTCTGTACCTGTGCCTAGTAAGTTTATTGACCCGGATTGTTTCTTGACCTGCTGATTTCTCCTGCCCGGACCCTTGCTTGCCTGACCTCTCTCCCTGGATGCCCCTCATTAGATCTGACCTCCTGTTGCTGACCTGGCGTGTGACCCGACGATCCTCTGCCTGCTCCCTTGTACCCTACCGTCCTCTACGTTACCGACTCGGCCTGTCTGACTACGCACTTGCTCAGCCATCCATCCATCCATCCCATCGGGGTCACCCGACCTCCTCACATCTGGCTCTCCCTGGTTGGAGCCCCTGGCGAACACCCCTACCACTGACAGGTGTGCTCAGTAGAGGCGACCTGGTCTCGGGGTACTACAAGTCCATCCCCACCATCAGGGGCCCTGGTGAACAAGTACCCTGGGGCTTAGACTCCGCGCTCTGGGCACACCTGACCAGTGGAGTGCTAGTGGTGCCGCTCGGCGGTCCCTCACAGCGGGTGCTCCCAGCAATCAGAGACTCAACCTTGCAGCCAGTCAAACACCTGGAACTAATTATACTGGTGTATTTAAGGGACATTCAGACCTGCAGACTCTGCCTTGGTGTTGTGTTTCTCCTGGGCCCTGTTTCCTGTTCCTGCTCCCTGTTCCTGTCTGATTCTCTGCTGACCCTGCTCTGATCCCTGGCTTGTCTGACCATTCTCCTGCTCCTGATCCCTGGCTTGTCTGACCATTCTCCTCTGCCTGACCCTCTGTACCACGCTGCCCGCTACCTGCTGAACCTGGCTTGTGACCCCGACCATTCTCCGCTTGCTCCCCCTGTACCTACCTGCCCGATTGATATTGACCCGGCCTGCCTGACGACGCTTGCATTGTATGTACTGTTATCTGTGGGTGGTTGGTTTGGTTTGTTTGCACTGTGTTATGTTTTAGTATTGCACTGCGTTTATGTTTGTATTGTTAGTGTTAATAAATTATATTGTTTATAACATATCTGAAGTCTGCGTTTCCCTGCGTCAGTCACAAACCTCTGGTCATACCCGGGAGCACTGACATTACACCAAGGCCAATCCTGACCAAAAGTGGCTGCACAGGGAAGCCATCTTGGCTTGTTGATGGGAAGGATGGATCTTGATGAGGTTGTGTATTTATATCTGCTAGTGTTTGATGACAGAGAGTATGCTTATCAAACTCTGAAGGAGTATACCCGGGATCAACTACTAGAATGTATACGGCTCGCTCATGATCTAGTAGATCAGGGCACAGAATTCTCTGAGGTGCAGCCATTGATTCAGATTTGTGCGGAGTTGGTTTCATCTGGTACCCCTGAATGCAGGGATGAATTTTTGCCGCCATTTAGTGCCGACCAGGTAGAGTCCCTGGTATGGTTATTAGAGGATGATGTGGATTGCGTCTTGGAGCATTATGCTGCATGTTCACCACAGACACTAAGAGATTGTATAAACGCAGTGCAGTCTTTGGTCAGACAGGCTTTGTGTAAGCTCAGCTTTGTTCAACCCATACTGCAGACATGGACAGATTTGTTGCACCCAGCCTCAGTCAGCTTACAAAAACCCAGTCCTGCTTCTAATCTATTTCCTCAAAGCTCTATTCCTGCATTCCCAACAGCTCCTCCTGCCCTGCTATCTACCGCATGTCAGTACCCTGTTCCCACTCGCTGCACCTATCCTGCCTTTAACCCTGTAAAAAAGCCCTCTGTAGCAACTGCTCCCTCCCCTGTTCCATCCTACAGTTCTTCTCTGTCTCCAGCTGCTCCATTTGTTTGCAGACCTGCGTTTACTTGCAGTGCTCCAGTAGTTAAAACCAGAAAAAAGCGAAAATTCTTTCCAACCAATACCATCCTGCCAGTATCCAAACCGGTGAACCTGCCTTCCGTGGTTCAGCCTGAAGCCTCTACTCAGCCTGATGCCTGTACTCAGCTCCTGTACTCAGCCTGATACCTGTCGCAGCCTGATGCCTCTCTTCAGCCTGATGCCTCTCTTCAGCCTGATGCCTCTACTCAGCCTGAAGCCTCTACTCAGCCTGAAGCCTCTACTCAGCCTGAAGCCTCTACTCAGCCTGATGCCTCTACTCAGCCTGATGCCTCTACTCAGCCTGAAGCCTCTACTCAGCCTGAAGCCTCTACTCAGCCTGATGCCTCTACTCAGCCTGATGCCTTTACTCAGCCGGATGCCTGCATTCAGCCTGATGCCTTTACCCAGCATGATGAACTGATCCAGCCTGACGATCCTATTAGGCCTGGTGACCCGATGCCCACTGTCGAGCCAGACAATCCGGTACCTGATGACCCGGTGCCCGCTGTCATGCCAGTTGACTCAGAGCCCGCTGTCGTGCCTGGTGACTCGGTGCCCACTGCCTTGCCAGATGACGAGGTGCCCGCTGGCGAGCTAAATGACCTGATGCCTGGTGACCCAGTGCCCGCTGTCATACCTGTGACCCGATGCCCGCTGTCGAGCCAGACAATCCGGTACCTGATGACCCGGTGCCCGCTGTCGTGCCAATTGAGTCAGAGTCCACTGTCGTGCCTGGTGATTCGGTGCCCGCAGTCTTGCCAGACGACTCGGTGCCCGCTGTTCCGCCAGTTGACTTGATGCCCCGTTTCTGCCAGACGACTCGGTGCCCGCAGTCTTGCCAGACGACTCGGTGCCCGCAGTCTTGCCAGACGACTCGGTGCCCGCTGTTCCGCCAGTTGACTCGATGCCCGCTGTTCCGCCAGACGACTCGGTGCCCGCAGTCTTGCCAGACGACTCGGTGCCCGCAGTCTTGCCAGACGACTCGGTGCCCGCAGTCTTGCCAGACGACTCGAAGCCCGCTGTTCCGCCAGTTGACTCGATGCCCGCTGTTCCGCCAGTTGACTCGGTGCCCGCTGTTCCGCCAGTTGACTCGGTGCCCGCAGTCTTGCCAGACGACTCGGTGCCTGCAGTCTTGCCAGACGACTCGGTGCCCGCAGTCTTGCCAGACGACTCGGTGCCCGCAGTCTTGCCAGACGACTCGAAGCCCGCTGTTCCGCCAGTTGACTCGATGCCCCGCTGTTCCGCCAGTTGACTCGATGCTCGCTGTTCTGCCAGTTGACTCGGTGCCCGCAGTCTTGCCAGACGACTCGGTGCCCGCAGTCTTGCCAGACGACTCGGTGCCCGCAGTCTTGCCAGACGACTCGAAGCCCACTGTTCCGCCAGTTGGCTCTCGGGTGCCCGCAGTCTTGCCAGTTGACTCGGTGCCCGCAGTCTTGCCAGTTGACTCGGAGCCCGCTGTCGTGCCTGGTGACTCGGTGCCTGAGCCCCGCCTGGGGGGGCCCGCTGTGCTGGGGGCCCGAGACCTGTGCTCCGCCTGGGGGCCCCTGCTCCCGGGGCCCGGTGCCTGCTGCTCCGCCCGCCTGGGGGCCCGTGCCTGCTGCCCTTCCTGGGGGCCCAGTGCCTGCTGCCCCACCGGTGGCCCGCTGCCTGCTGCTTCCCGCCTGGGGGCCCGATGTGCCTCTGCCCGGAGCCCAGCCCGATGTGCCTCTGCCCGGAGTCCAGCCCCATGTGCCCGCTGCCGCAGAGTCCAGTCGCCCCTCCTGGGGGCCCCCGATGTGGTGGGGCCCTGCCCGGGGGGTCCGGGGCCGATGTGCCTCTGCCCTGGGGGCCCGGTGCCCTGCCCGCCTGGGGGCCCGGTGCCTCTGCTCCCCGGAGTCCGCTGCCTGATGTTCGCCTGGTAATCCGATGTGCCTCTGCCCGGAGTCCAGCCCGATGTGCCTCTGCCCGATGTGCCTCTGCCCAGAGTCCAGCCCGATGTGCCTCTGCCCAGAGTCCAGCCGATGTGATGTGCCTCTGCCCGGAGTCCCAGCCCGGAGTGCCTCTGCCCGGAGTCCAGCCCGATGTGCCTCTGCCCGGAGTCCAGCCGATGTGCCTCTGCCCGGAGTCCTGCCCGATGTGCCTCTGCCCGGTGTGCCGCTGCCCCGGAGTCCTGCCCGGTGTGCCAGTCTTTGATATCCCGCCAGTTACCAGACCCAGGCGGTGGAACATTTTGCCCAGCTAGGACTGTTTGGAGTGTCCTGAGGCCGCTCCTTGAGGGGGGGGGGTACTGTCAGGAATGGACTGGCCAGCAATAGTGGGACTCACCTGCCTTATGAGCTGCAGTACCAGGGCTGGCCAGCGGGTGCTCCCAGCAATCAGAGACTCAACTTGCAGCCAGTCAAACACCTGGAACTAATTATACTAGTGTATTTAAGGGACATTCAGACCTGCAGACTCTGCCTTGGTGTTGTGTTTCTCCTGGGCCCTGGTTCCTGTTCCTGCTCCCTGTTCCTGTCTGATTCTCTGCTGACCCTGCTCTGATCCCTGGCTTGTCTGACCATTCTCCTGCTCCTGATCCCTGGCTTGTCTGACCATTCTCCTCTGCCTGACCCTCTGTACTACGCTGCCCGCTACCTGCTGAACCTGGCCTGTGACCCCGACCATTCTCCGCTTGCTCCCCCTGTACTTACCTGCCCGACTGATATTGACCCGGCCTGCCTAACGACGCTTGCATTGTATGTACTGTTATCTGTGGGTGGTTGGTTTGGTTTGTTTGCACTGTGTTATGTTTTAGTATTGCACTGCGTTTATGTTTGTATTGTTAGTGTTAATAAATTATATTGTTTATAACATATCTGAAGTCTGCGTTTCCCTGCGTCAGTCACACACCTCTGGTCATACCCGGGAGCACTGACACAGTCATTGTCATGAGACATGTTATTTGAGACTGCTAGAAATCACTGCTTTAACAGGGCAATAGGAAATACACAGAATAATATCTGCTGGGGCCCAGAGGGCAATGCAAAAATTCCCAAAGGGCCACAGGTTTGGCAAAAGGGGTCTAAAAAGGGATTTCTCTCACTTTGAGGTTACCTTTCATTTCCTCTTTGTGTTTGCAGGGTTGGAACCAAATAGAAATTAGGAAACCATCACAATATGACACAGATGGAAGAAAAAAACAGTCCCTACTCTGTCAAAAAACGCTTTACCTTTATGTCTTCCTACAAAAAACAAAGAGTGGGTTTTGGTAAAGGGGGATCCCATCATGCAAGAACTATGTTGTTGTCTCTTCTGACCTAGTGGTGAAAATGCTAGCCAAGAAGTCAATTACTCAAAACAAGTTTGCAGGTTTTGAGTAGGAATTACAGTAGTTGCATGCTTGCTACTTGTGTGGAAGGAGTTGAAGTCATCATCCCTGTGGTAGCTCTGACATCCTCTGACAAAGAGCTTATGCAGAGCCTGACTTAAAATTCTAATAGAGGACATAAGTGGCTGAGAGATGAAAAGTAGAGTATAAGTGGGTTGGGGGCTGAGCGAGCAAGAGGCTCTGTTACTTTAACTTGAATGGGCAGATTAACAAAGTCCTTTTTCAACTTCTTTTTACCTGCAATTTGTTTATGAACACTTCTCAGCACAATGTCCCATGCAAAGGATGCCTTTATAAATATCCTTTTGACAGGTAGCAGCCAATACTTTACATGGCTGCTAGCTACCAAACCCAACTGTCGCTGAAAGCCTCAGTCCATTTAACAATTTTGAACCAATCAGAGGCCTGCTTGGTCATGTGATGCCCTTGTCAGCTATAAACATTTGCCAGCTGAATGCTTAATTTAGAGAAAAAATGGTTTCAGCTTTCTGAGGCCACTGCAGCTTGCAGATAGCAGTGTGTCTCTGTTTAATGCTGTAATTGTCTGATATAATTATCTCTTAGATTGTAAGCTCCAAGGAGCAGGGCCCTCCTAACCCTCTTGTATTGGACTGTATTGTTGCTGTATTGTCTCCTGACATATTGTAAAGTGCTGAGCAAACTGTTGGCGCTATATACGTAATCCCTGTACAGGGGCGGACTGACAACTCATGGGGCCCCCGGGCAATAGGGGCTCATGGGGCCCCTGTGTCCTTGTCCAAACTCAAAAAAGCCTATGAAAAAGATACCAGGGCCATCTAATTGGGTCCCCTACTGACCCCGGGCCCTCGGGCACTGCCGAGTTTCCAAATGATCCTGTATAATAATAGTTTAAAATGTATACATTTAATTTAAAAATGGTAATGTTTGTCTTCATGTCAACCTATGTTAAAAAGAATAGGTTAGAACAGTACACCAAATTAAAATGAAAATAATCTTTGACATCTAGGCTTCAAAGACATTGGGAACTACATAACATTACACATAATGCCATATCCATAGTGGTCTTATAATATTTTAAATAAATATGTTTTTCTGTCACATTCTTTGTTTTGTTAGTGGAGATTTGACACTGTTTCCAACAACTGCAGTCATATAATTCTTGAATGATGAGTTGGCTCACAGAAGCTGTTGGCAAGATTAAAAAGATGTAAGATATGTGCAAGCCTAGGGCTAATTAATTAAGCCAATCCATTACAAACCTCGATAATAGATCACAAAATGTTCCTAAATCAGGTACAAAAGACCAAACTAATAGAAACCAAGAACATCTAATAGAAAACACACGAGTCCATTGAAATGCTTTCCAATTGTTAAATATGCTTTTAAAAGCATTGCAATTTTATTGTTTTAATACATTGTTAGTTTTATTTGTATTAGCTTTCTAGGACAAATTTTGTTACAGGCAAATTTAATATGACCCCTTTTGATATATTATTTTTATTTTGGTAAAATGTACAGTTAGTTGTTTTATTTCTGCATTTAAAATACACTTAGATATGTAGGTAGCAGGGGCGGACTGACCATTTGAGCACTCGGGCAGTGCCCGAGGGCCTGGGGTCAGTAGGGGGCCCCATTAAATGCCCCAGGTACCGTTTATAGGCTTTTTTGGGTGTGCTTTGAGTGTGGGCAAGGACACAGGGGCCCCAGGATCCCCTATTGCCCGGGGGCCTCATGAGTTGTCAGTCCGCCCCTGGTAGGTAGTCGGGTCAAGACTACACAAAGAGTACTTATGTTAAAACATTGTACTGTATGCAACACAAGATTGTAATAAACCATGACAATGTGTAGACAAACATACAATGAGAGTATTACATTTTTTTTTTTTATATTTATAAGGATATAGCTGTCAAGACTGTATTGCATGGAAAACAACAAAAATTACAGTAAACTGTAATTCTAGGAAAAAATGTTTTTTTATTTAATTTGATAGTTTTGGAGGGGTTAGATCCATTGTCAGTTTTTATTTTTGTCTGCTTCCTCTTTGGGGGGATCCATATCCATCATTCTGTTGTACTGGTGACAGCCCAGGATTTTAGAGTTGTCCACAGAACAAAAGAAAGGGGAAATCTTCCAATGTGGCAACTGTCTAATAGGGAAATTACTGTCCACTTTAAGAGATTTATTCTAACTTTCTGCTGCGTTTTTGGGACAACACAGCAAAGAGTAAATTTGCCGGGGGTTTAACCCCACCCTTCTCTGTCTAAATCTAAAAAAATTACATTTCAATTGCTTACCTTTTTATATGGAACTCTGCTGTTTAGTACTTGTTGAATTCCTGTGAACAGAAAAGTGAATAGTGTAATCACAACTCATGAAGAAAGTGCATGAGGGTACAGCAATGGATTAACCTCTGAAGGTAGGAAGGGTCTCTCATCTCCTAAATTCCCCCAGGGTGCAAACCCCCTGACAGGGGTGGGGTACTTTGGTGCACCTAGGCCAAAGCAAGGTGGACCTTGCTCCTTGGGGAGTTCTTCTTAAGGGCTTTCTGAAAGAGAGAGGTAAAAAACCCAAAGGTCACAGGCAGCCTGTACCTTTGAGTTCTCTGAGAATTACATGTAAAGAAATCTGAATACAATTATAACCCCTGGAGGAGGATCTACTTATAACCCACTGCAAAAAAGAGTAAAACCAGTAAATCGTCCCTCCATTGGTAGTAGAAGGAAAATGACAAACAAGTTCCCTGGATAATGGCTGTACTCAATAGTATCTCTTTGTATAAGCTCTGTAATCTTCTCAACAGTTCATGCAAGACAGGAGAAAGGCAGAGAAAGCGCCACTGTCCAAGTGTAGTATTAGTGAGAAAATCGGTATTGGGTAACAATGTTGAGAATATACTGTAGGTATGGCACTCACATACAAATTAATGGGCACAGCATATCAATAGGCACTCCGTGGCGACATCAGCAAGTGACAGTTTCATACATTGGATATGAAATGGGAAAGTAGAGAAAGAGAGCAATATCTAAGTGTAGTAATGATGCGGAGACTGCTAACAGTATAAAAATGGTGGGTTTTGAATGTCAATAGGTACTCTATAACAAGGTCAGCAGGTCTCAGCTTTCATGTTGTTCCACCCCTACATGTGATGTCATCATGGCTGTTTGTTCATCTTCACCAATACTTCCTTGCTGTCCACTGTGGTCCCCTATCATACTGCAGATTAGCAGTACTGGTTCTTCTTGCTTTTCAATCTATGTTTGGATCACAGCAGTTACTGCTATGTCCATCTGCCTATAGCAATTGGAGATTTATTGCCTGTGTACCTTTCACTAGGACTATATCGATTTCTCTATTGGTATTGCACGGAGAGCGGTTTGTCCTCTCTCCTTCTATTTTTTTTTAGCGTTCCATATTTGTGGGAGGATTTAATAAGCTGCTGACTGCAGTTGTTGCCACTAACTGATTATTCATTGATATGCTGGATTTATTCATTTATATGTGAGTGCAATACGTACTGTTTCAATTTAGCTCGCCAGTTTTTGCCGCTACTACTAATTAGGCAACGCCACAATATATTTTCTCCCGTTTTTCCTATCACTTCATACTTATTGGAGAATCCAAGGAGTCATCACAGGTTGATGCCATAAAATACCCATTGATATGCTGTACTCATTCATTTTTATTCGAAAACAATACCTACCTTTCTTTTGGCCACGGACCACGGGTCCTTCTCACTATAACTACACATTTTCCATTTCACATCATTGGAGAATTTATGAAGCTGCCACCTGCTGATGCTGTTTATAGAGTACCTATTGACATGCTGTGCCTATCCATATATATATGCGAGTACAATACCTACCTTTTCTATATTGTTACGGGTCTCCTCACAATTACTACACTTAGATATAGGTGCTCTCTCTTCCTCTTCTTTCCCATTTCAAATCCATTGGAAAACCTATGAAACTATCACTCGCTGATGCCACTACAAAGTACCTATTGATATGCAGTGTCTGTCCATTTATATGCGAGAGCAATACTTACTGTTTCAAGAATTACACGTACCTGCATGTCCTTGGACTACACTTGCTATACCTGGTTTATATCACCTAGATGCTTTAGTTATTTTAAACGGGATCAAATGCTTTCAAGTGCTGCCCAGTGCTGCCCAGTGTTCTGGACCATGCACACTCCTGATTTTAAAGGAGTTGTATTTCTGCATTATAATTATAGTGCCGCCTACTGATTCAGTTTGGTAAAGCATTTATGTTATTTTTAGGTACAGTAATAAAGTGGCTGTAAAGGCTCAAGGTTTTTTCTGTGTGCAGCAGCCCCTCAGCCCTCCCTAATACCTACCTGAGCCCCATTTTGGTCCAGTGATGCGCAAGAGAGCCTCGGCTCTCCGGGAATCCCCCTCCTCAATGGCAGAGAGTGCACATGGGAGCCAGCAATCCGTGTCACCCAGACACAGCGGATCACATTACCTCTGTGTCCGGATGATCACATGGTGTTTTACCATGTGATTGGACACAGCAATCACCAATCACACAGTAAACCATAGAATTTGAAACTTAGCATCAGTTCTCTCTGCTCTCACTGTGAGAGCAGAGAGAGCCAATGTTGCAGCCTGTCAGGCTGCATGTACACTCACAGACTGCTATGCCAGTCACCCCAGTTTCTCTGATCACTGCCCCAGTATCCCTGATCACTGCCCCTGTGTAGTCTCTAATAAATAATGCAGTCAACCCCTATCACCTGTCCCAGTGCTCACAATACACCATACCAACGTCCTGATCACAGTCATACCCAATACCAGTACCCTGATCACTGCCATATGTCATACAACCATCCTGATCACCGCCTTACACCATGCCAGCTTCCTGATTACCCCATACCAGGATCCTGACAACCACCATGCCCCATACCAGAATCCTGATCACCCCATATGCCATACCAGCATCCTGATCACAGCCATACCACATACCAGCACCATGATCATCACCATATGCCAAACCAGTACCCTGATCACCGCCGTATGGCATACCAACATCCTGATCACTGCCATCCAGCATACCAGTGCCCTGATCACTGCCATACCCCATACCAGCATCCTGATAACCGCCATACCAGCATCCTGATTACCGCCATACCGCATGCTAACATCCTGATCACCTCCATACCCCATACCAGTGTCCTGATCATTGCCAGACGTCATACCAGCATCCGGCATTTTAGGATCTCAACTGATCAGTTATCAAATACATCCACTATAGTTTTCAGACTCTCTAGCTTTCACACAGACTAAATAATATACACTCTTTTGACGGTTTTACCCTAAAAATGTAGCAGAATACATTGTGGCCTAAAGTTATGAAGAAAAAGTATTTATTTGAAATTTTTTTTAACGAAAACTAAGCAAAAAGATTTTTTTCAAACTTCTCAGTATATTTCCATTGATATTGCAAAAAAATATAGAAAACCCAGTTGTGATCAAATGCCACAAAAAGAAATCTACCTGTCTCAAAAAAATGATAAAAATATCATATGGGTACAGTGTTGCATGACTAGGTAATTGTCACTCAAAGTGTGACAGTGCTGAAAGCTGAAAATTTTCCTGGACTGGAAGGTGGTGAAAGTGTCCGGACATAAAGTAGGTAATATCACCTTAAGGCTGTTTTACTAAAATAGTTGAGAATATTTGTTCAATAAATTAGAGAGGAGATTCACTTTAATTATCCGATCAAGGAAAAGCAAAATAAAAAAAAAAAAAGCAAAATCCTGTTTATTTATTTCATATGCAATTGACTGGGTATTCAACGTGAAAACAATTTATTGAGTGATAATTCTCAGCTCCTTGAGAGTTTTAGCTAAGAAATGTGAGTAACAGCAAGGGTTTATAAAAATGTAAATATTTTGTAGTTCCTCCAAATATTAGGAGAAACCCTAGCTTTCCAACGCCGATTATATTTCTGACCTACCGTAAATTAATTAAACCAAATTTCAATCTTTTCAAATTTTGACCTCAGCCCAGGAACCAACACACACACTTGGTTTTAATGGACTTGCATTTCTTGATAATATGTGCAGTGCCACCTGCTGGTTCTGCTTGGTATTGCGTTTTTAAGAGTGTTCTTTGCAAAAAGGGTAAACTTTAGTCATACAAATAAATCCAAACAGCAACAAGTTTATTGTCCAGAGTTATTACATTAAAGGTTTCCAAACAGTCAACATATTGAAAACCGGATATCACCTTTAAAGCTTCACTGATAAAAAATAACATCTTTCCATTTAATTTATCCAGCACTAGCCAAGCACATACTTTAATGCTAAATTAAGGTGTGCTTTAACATTTGGTTCTGTATAGATAGGGTGTTATTTAGCTGGAACTAATTTGAATTCTGTGTTTTATGGAAAATGGACTGTAAGAGCACAGGGTGCAAATACAGTTACAGATAATTACTGTCTGAGCTAGGTTTCTAAAGGCTACAGGAAATTGTAAAGTTATTTTTCACCATATTAAATTTTGCTGCCTCTGTAGCAAATGGGATTATTAAAGAATGTGTTGGGCTAAATTTTAATGGCAGCAAACGGTTTTGCAACAATGGTGATACGCTAGGAAGCTCTCCCTGAGCCTGTATTCATTCACTAGCTCTGTCACGTATCCTATGAATTTGAATGTGTACATATTCTAACAAGAAAATGAGAAAAGAAATAAGAGTCTAACAGAATGTACTTTGTTAGTGTAAGAAAATATGACATGCAATGTCAGATAGAGAAAGTTCAGGCAGATATTAAAAAAAATAAAAAATAATGCAGTTATATGTTTGTTAAAAAGTATATGAAATATCAATTTACATGCCACAGAGTTCCAGCCGTTTTTGTGTTTAGTAAAAGTCAGCAGCTACAAAAACTGTATCTGCTGACTTTTAATAAACACACCTTGGACCACCCTGTCCCAGGGTCCAGCAATGCTCACACCCCACACCATCCTTTCTCCCCTTCTCTCCTCCATGGCACTGGTATCTCAACTGTGGGCACCATGTTGTGACAGCTTGTGGCTTTATAGCCTGGTGCCCACTGCGCATGAGCGAGTCGCGCTGCACCTCCTAATTGGTCCTGTGAATGTTCCCAGGAGACTGCGGGAGGGAGGAGAGTGCTGAACTTCCGGCTCACTTCGCCACAGCGAACTGAGCCTGAAGTGGGAGCGGGTACCTGTCAAAAACAGGTATCCGCTCCCCCCCAAAAGGTGCCAAATATTGCAGTGGAGGGGGGGGGGGGGAGGCAAATATAAGCAGAGCTTCCACTTTTGAGTGGCTTAACTCATGAGATTTTCACTTTAAGAAATCATGCATGAAATAAACAAAAATTATTCAACCCCCACTGAAAATGGAGACAGTACACATATAATAGATACAAATCCATATGCACAAATGTCTTTCTCAGTTATTAGTTTTTTCACATAGAATCAATAATTTACAGTTATGCTTTTAAATTGCTACTTGACACATGAGATCTTTTCAGCCCATTCTTCACAAATGTTCACACATTCAGGCTTGCGCCGCTCACATCCCCAGAGAGGATAATCGGTCTTGGCCACTTAAAAACATGCAGTGAAAAGCAGTCCTGTCAAAAACACAGACACGTTTTGTTATTATATATATAATCTCATTATGTATGTTTCTTCAATGTATGCTTTTTTTTAAATAAATAATTTTCAGTCTATTAAGCACTTGTCCTCCTGAGGATTTACCCCCCCCTTCCTGATCAGGCCATTTTTTGCACTGTGTTACTTTAACTGATAATTGCGTGGTCATGCAAAATTTTAAGTCCTTTTTTTCCCACAAATAGAGCTTTCTTTTGGTGGTATTTGCTCGCCTGTCACAAGTAGGCGTTCTTTTCATCATAGCTTGTTTCTTCCTGTGCATTTTTTTTTTATTTTTTGCGCTATCAATAAAAAACGACAATATTGAGAAAAAAAACAATTATTGAGGGTTTATTGAGGGTTTCATCTTCTTTTCACAGCAGCAGTTTCCCAGTTCATCTATTATCCAGAGGAGGGAGCCCATTCATCTAGGCTGTCCATTTGCTCTTAAGGAGATCTCTGCGCCCTGCTGTGTATTACTTCACCCAAGGCTGATGATTTACCCCTGAGGGATGTACCACCTGTTGCCAGCCATTCGGTGTTGATGGTCACTTATATGTGCATTTCTAATGCGCGAGGATTTACCCCCCCTTCCTGTCGGTGAGTGCGCATTTTTCTGCTATATGATTTTTGTCATCAGTGTATCTTAGGAGAGGAAGCTTTTTATGATTCTGCACAAGATTTCCTATGAACATGTATTGAATTAAAATGTATTTATTTTCTAAGCGCTGCACTATATTTTTTTATGGTTTGTCTTGTAAGGTCATTGTGATTTTTGAGTGTTTTCTAGCTGCTGGTTTTTATGAGCGCTCGCTTGAATTTTCTAATTTCTATTATTGATCTTTTTAAAGGGGCCATCACATTAAAGAAAAACTCTAACTTCACACATTTATAAATGAGCTAGTAAAAATGTAATTCATATTATCCACTCCTATAAACAAAGTAGTGTACCATACACTTTATTATTATCAATCTTTTAAAGGTCCAATGTATTAAGGAAAAACTCTAACTTAACACATAGGCTAATAATCCAAAAATCATGACATCTAGAAATTTGTGAGGAAACAATTGAGATCAATATCAATGTTTAACCCTTGTGGTCTACGGGTATCTAAGTTATATATCCAAAA